AAACAAGCCAAACTAAAGTGATTAATTTGGCAGGGCAGGAACAAGAATTTCAGACTTGAAGGCACGGCAAAACTCACATGGTTGGGAAGACGCCAGGAATACAGATAAGTCATGACAACACAGGATAAAGTCACGTTTGTTCCCAGTAGCTGCCGCACACAGCCTACCTTTCTTATCAACTGTCTTCCCAGCTGTGGCTAATGAAGGGAGTCAGGGCCCTTTCCTCCCCTGTAAGCCATGCAACCCACATTGCTCCTTTCTCCGTTCCTCCCTGCGTGCCCTAGGATGAAGAGGAGGTGCGCCTGGGTCTTCCTCTGAACTCTCTCCCTTTTTCTACCTCTTCCCTGCTCTGCCCAGCCGGACTTTTCCTCCTCAGATTCAGACTCTGATAGGGGCATGACAGGAAGCCAGATTCACTTAACTGTTTCATTTGTATTAACTACCACGGTATCAGAAGTATCCCCACATATTCTATTTATGCTGGCTGGGGAATTCTGGGAGTTGAAGTCTACACATCTTCAACTTACCAAGCATTTCAAGATACAGGCAGTCCTCGATTTACGACCACCGAGCCCAACATTTCTGTTAAGTGAGTAATTGGTTAAGCGAGCTTTGCCCTGTTTTGTGACAGTTCTTGCCACAGTTGTTAAGTGAATCATCACAGTTGACAAGTTAGGAACACGGGTTGTTAAATGAGTCTGGTTTCCTCACTGACTTTGCTTGTCAGGTGGTCACAAAAGGGGAATCCCATAACCCCGGGACACTGCCACCGTATAAATGTGAGTCAGTGGCCAAGCATCTGAATTTTGATCACATGACCATGGGGATGCTACAAAGGTGGCAACTGTGAGAAAATGGTCACATTTGCCATTGTAACTTCGGTCACTAAATGAACTATTGTAAGACGAGCACCACCTGTATTGTTCTAGCCTCATCTGTAAGCAAACTTGTCAAAAGATAACCTAGTCAACCTAATCACAATTACTGTTCTTTCAGGCCTCCACTTATGAGCTTCGGAGGTGCAGTGGTTTAGAGTACTACACTGCAGGCCATTTCTGCTGACTATCAGCTGTTCAAATCCCACCAGGTTCAAGGTTGACTCAGCCTTCCGTCCTTCTGAGGTGGGTAAAATGAGGACCCAGACTGTTGAGGGCAATAGGCTGACTCTGTAAACCACTTAGAGAGGGCTGTGAAGCACTATAAAGCGGTATATAAGTCTAAGTGCTATTGCTATTACTAGATTCTTGTAGATGTGCCATGTTGGCAAGGTGGCACGCAGAGCCATTGTGCAGACAAGTGAGCCCCAGCCAAACTTACCTGCACTGCGCATGCGCGCACCTCCAAGCTGATTTTTGGTCCATTTGAGGCCATTTTCGCCCTCCTGGAGGCTCGAGGGAAGCCTCTGCAGCCTCAGGAGGCCGAAAAACGGGCCTTCTGGAAATACCAGAAGCGCCGAAACGGTTCCATTTTCAGTTTCCGAGGCTCCAGAGGGTTCTCTTGAGCCTCCAGGAGGGCGAAAACGGCCTTAAACAGGCCGAAAATCAGCTGGGAGGCGCACTCATGCACAGTGCAGGTAAGGGTGGGGGGGTGAGGCGGGGATGTTGCGCACGCATGGGCGGGATGCATTGTGTTGTGGGTGCCAGCCTGCACTGTCAAACAAAAAATCTCCACACCACAAAGCTGAATACCATTCATGTAAGTACCCGTGAAAACTTAAGAAAACATGTATGTATGTATGTATGTATGTATGGTATTCAACTTTGTTCAGGTATTTTCCCACGTCATTATAGTTGTGCTTTTAAAGTTGTAGCAACGTTTCGGCAGAATCTCATCTGCCATCATCAGGCTTCTGTATTGTGTTCATCTGTGAGTCAGACTTTTACAGTTGTTTCAGTTTTAAATTTGGGGCTAGCCTACTGCTGTGCCAGAATGGTTTTTTCTTCATCCTGATTGGTTGGGAGTCTTGGTCTGTGTTCATTGGTCTGGGAGTTTGCACCACTTGATTGGTGTTTCTAATATCTTCTGTCTGTTTTGTGGCTTTTTTTGTGTCTTGATTGGCTGGCAACATTGTGTTCCTGTATTGGAGGCTTTTAGTGCAGCTTGGCTCTGAGTAAATGGATGGCTATCATTTGTTAGGAAGCTAGGTTTCATCTGGGTGCCTGGTTGGGGTGTGTTTGAGCTGGAGGTATCAGGGGGGAGGTTCTGTTTGTGCCCAGGTGTTTGCCTGGCTACTGGTGTGGAGATTTTTTTGTTTGTGAGTGCAGGCTTCCAAATGATTGACAGTCTGGTGGAATCATCTCTTCTATTCATGCTTTCAGGTCTTTTTTTCAATCTCTATGGCTCCTCTGATAATTCTGTGGCTGGGGTTTTCTATAGTGGCTAGGGTTTTGGTGCCACTGAAGTTGATGCTATGATCTGTGGCTTCCATGTGTTGGACTAGTGAGGAAGTGTGTTCCAGCTTTTTGGCTGCACTTTTGTGTTCATCCAGGCGGGTACTTATTCTTCTATTGGTCTGTCCAATGTATGTAGCCGGGCATGATGCACAGGGGACTTCGTATATGCCTTGGTTTTCCAGGTCATTTTATCTTTGGGGGTTCTAAGGATGGCTGCTATTTTTCTGTCTGTTTTGAAGGCAGTCTTGATGTGATGCCTGTGTAGTATCTTACTGATTTTGTCTGTAGTACCTCTTATGTAGGGCAGGACAGCTGTTCCATAGGTCTGTTCATCTTCTAGGTTTCCATTATGTCTCAGTGTGTTTTTGTGGATCAAGCTGGTGATTTTGCTTTTGTGGAAGCCGTTGGCTGTCAGTACTTTAGTCAGGGTGCATAGTTCAGTCTTTATGTGTGTCTTGTCTGCCAGGTGTTTGGTTCTAGCAATTAGTGTTTTGGCCACGTAGCTTATCTGTGCTGGGTGGTGGTGGGATTGGGCATTGAGGTAGCAGTTGGCTCATGCCACCCACAAACCCAAACTATGGTTAAGATACATCGATAACACATTTGTGATTTGGCCCCATGGAAAAGAAAACCTAAACAATTTCCTAACACACCTAAACAGCTCACACCCCAAAATCAAGTTCACCATGGAAACGGAAACAAACAAACAACTACCATTCCTAGATGTTATAATCTACAAAAAACCGGCACACTAGGACACACCATATACCAGAAGAAAACACACACCAACCGTCGTAATTCCATGACAGTGGCCAAGTTGGATCATGTGTGACTGTGGAGATGCTTGCAAAGATTGTACCCTTACCAGTTGTAAGTCCTGGTTTCAGGGCCGTTTTAATTCCAAGCAGATGGTAAACGAATGGTTGTAACTTGAAGACTATCAGGAATTGCCAGTTTTCAAGTTAATTAACCTGATATACCTCATATCAAGAAAGCAGATTTATTTGTCTGTTGTAACTGCAATGATAGCAGATAAGTTAAACCTGTTGTGCATCTTATGCTGACTTAAAAGAAAAAAGAAAAAGCCGAATTAAACTACCCAGACTCACCGGGAGTTTGATGGCATAGAAATTCAGTCAACTTAAAAATGAAATAAAATTAACAGAACTGCAGAGCTGATCCCGATAACCTGCGTGGATTCCGACAAGGATGCCATGTCCTGTCAGGAAATTACTGACACCCCAAACTCCTCACCGTCCACAATAACAATTGCACTTAGACTTATATACCACTTCACAGTCCTCTCTAAGGGGTTTACAGAGTTGGCATATCCCCCTCCAACAAACTGGGTCCTCATTTTACCCACCTTAGAAGGATGGAAGGTTGAGTCAACCTTAAGCCAGTGAGGATCGAACCCCTGGCAGTCGGCAGAGTTAGCCTGCAATACTGCATTCTAACTGCTGCGCCACCACGGGCTCATAGCAGTCCAAATCTCACCAATGGTAACTACTAAAACAGGCATAGAAATGTATATCAGAGTTGGCTTCATACAGGGCAGTGCCTCTAAGAAATCCTTTGAAGTTTTTGGAAGTTTGGCTCGAGAATTATGATTGAACTAGGGCGATTGCTGGAATCCTGACAACCAACTCTATGCAAATGGTAGAGCTAGCAATAGCACTTAGACTTATATACTGCTTCACAGTGCTTTTACAGCTCTCTCTAAGTGATTTACAGCAGGCTTGTCTAACCCGCGGCCCGCGGCCCGCATGCGGCCCAGGTCGGCTCGTAATGCGGCCCAGTGCCCACCCCAACCTTCGTGCAAGAGGACGAGCCAGCGAGGAGGAGGAGGAGAGGCAGGCGCGAGGCGGGGCGAGGCGAGCGCCACGCCAAGCAGCAACAGAAAAGGTGGGCGCCGTCAGAGCGCTCCTCGTGCCGAGGCAGCCACAGCCCAAGAGTCCCGCTCCGCCGCCTCCTGCTGTTGCCGCCGCCGCCGCTGCTGCACCGAGCCTCCCGGTCCTCACCTTCCAGTCCTGCCGCATCCAGCCGGGCCATTTGCAGGAGGAGAGGTAGGCGCGAGGCGGGCGAGCGTTCTCCCCCCCCCGCGTTCCTTTCTCCCTGGTTGACTATTTTTTATGATATCTTATGAAAAAAATGTTTTCTATGGTTTTTTTTGGTTGATCAGGTATCGTTACTGTTATTTTATTTTATGTGCGGCCCAAACCAAATTTTCATCTTCTAATGTGGCCCAGGGAAGGTGAATGGTTGGACAAGCCTGATTTACAGAGTCAGCTTATTGCCCGCCCAATAATCTGGGTCCTCATTTTACCAACCTCGGAAAGGTGGAAGGCCGAGTCGACCTTGAGCCTGGTGAGAACCGAACTGCTGGCAGTCAGCAGAATCAGCTTGCAGTACTGCATTCTAACCACTGCGCTGCAATGGCTCACCAAATAGGCAATGAAGTTTTATTTTATCACGGGATTTATTTCCTCCTGGAGCAGCCAAAGTCTAAGAGGGGAAGGAAGCACAGAACACCCAAACACAAACCCTGAGGAGGGTGTGAGCCAACTAACCAGCTAACGCACGACCCAGAAGGGAAATAAAATGAGCTCAGCACTGAAAACGGGCCGGCAAAGAACGCTTCCTTTTCAGGCGAATGCTTCTGTCCGACAAGCCACCCTGAGAAGAGGGAGGAGGAGGAGGAAGAGGAGGAGGAGGAGGAGGAGGAGGCGAAGAGGCCTCTGAGTTCTTGCACGGCTCCGCGGAGACTTGGGACTCTGTCGATGTTTCAGAACGGGGCGTTGGGGAAGGAAAGGAGGGGGGATCTCGGACAGGAGAAGTAAGAACAGGCAAAGACGCAGCTGTACGGCCCTTGCAAACGATGGACAAGACATCCTGGAGAATTCCCGTCCGGCTTGAGTGGCCGGTTTGGAGTTTCCAGCCTTTCTCGCGTAAGTAGCCTTGCAGCTTTTCCACCGCTTTCCTTTCGCACTCTTCCCATGCCTTCTCGATTTCACTCGAAGGGGCCAGGTTGGCCTTGTGGGACCCGGGCAGGGCTGGTTCCTGGAGCGCGCTTCCCGCTGCAGAGTCCTCAATTCCGCCTCGGTCTCGACCAACGTCCGCTGTCCTTTCCTGCTGGGACTTGCGAATGTTTCTCATTCGTTCGGCGCTGGTCAGCGGCGGCTTGTGGCTTCCTGTGAGGGAAGAAGAGAGAAATACCGGCGTCTTAAAGGAGTGAGTGTGGAACTCAGGCACAGACTCGGCGTATCTGTGCGTGCGAGCGTCAGGCCCTTTCCTGGCCTTACAAGGAAAAAAAAAATACACAATGAAGCGTGAGGGCATGAAGGCAGCAGCTTCCTTCGTCTGGGTTTTTAAGCGGCAAGGATATCGTGGAAAGAGGTGAAAGAGCGATAGTGATGGCGAACCTTTTCAGCACCGAATGCCCAAACTGGAACTTGCATGGGCAATCACCGGAAACCGAACACAAGCTGTCCGGTGCACATGTACATGCCTGCCAGCTGGTCTTTGCATCCGCTGGAACGCCAGAAACCTGAAGACTAGGAAGCCGGCGTGCGCATGAGCACCAGCCAGCTGGTCTTCTGGCTTCTGGCACTCTGGTGTGCGCGAAGAGCAGCTGGCCGGCACACATGTACATGCTGGAAACCAGAAGAGCAGCTGGCGACACCACATGTGCCCACAGAGAAGGCTTTGCATGCCACCTCTGGCACGTGTGCCATAGGTTTGCCATCACGGGCCTAGGATTACCAGCCTGGAAACAGACCCAATTTCTGAGCTTGGTGGTTTTCTTTAAGACGTTTCATTACCAAACAAGGTAACATCATCGGTGCATTGAAGCTGTGGTGGCGTGGTGGTTAAAATTGCAGTATTGAGGGCTACTTTCTGCTGACTGCCAACCGTCAGCAGTTCGATCCTGACTGGTTCAAGTTAGAGTCAGCTTTCCAGCCTTCCGCAGCCGGTAAAAAAATCCGGATTGTTGACTCTGTTAACCACTGAAGAGAGGGCTGTAAAGCACGGTGAAGCGGTATATAAGTGTAAGTGCTATGGCTATTGGTATGAAACACCTACAAAAAAATCCACCAGGCTGAGAGAGCACTGTGGATCCCACAATTCAACCCTGGGCTACAAATATTCTTTTCTACATTTTCATTTACAGGAAGGGCACAATCTAAATAGGATGATAAACTTATACAGAATAACAGAGTTGGAAGGGTTCTTGGAGGTCTTCTAGACTAGCTCCCTGCTCAGGCAGGACACCTTATATCATTTCAGACAAACGGTTTCTCTTTAAATCTCTTCTTTAAAACTTCCAATGTTGGAGAGTACACAACTTCTAGAGGCAAGTTGTTCCATTAATTGTTCTCACTGTCAGGAAATTCCTCCTTAGTTCTAAGTTGCTTCTCTCCTTGATTAGTTTCCACCCATTGCTTTTTGTCCTGCCCTCAGGTGCTTTGGCGAATAGCTTGACTGCCTCTTTGGGGCAGCCCCTGAGATATTGGAAGACTGCTATCCTGTCATCTCTTCTTTTCTGGTCCTTTTAGCAATAGCACTTAAGACTTATACACCCCTTTACAATGCTTTACAGCCCTCTGTAAGCAGTTTACAGAGTCAGCCTATTGCCCCAAACAATCTGGGTCCTCATTTGACCGACCTCGGAAGGATTTGGAAGGCCAAGTCAACCTTGAGCCTTGGTGAGATTTGAACGGCCAAACTGCAGGCAGCTGGCAGTCAGCAGAAGTAGCCCTGCAGTACTGCACTCTAACCACTGTACCACCGTGGCTCTCATTAAACTAGCCGTATCCGATTCCAGCCACCCTTCTTTATATGCTTTCGCCTCCCTTAAACATTTAGCCACTTTAAACCAGTGCTTTTCAACTTGACCAACGTTAAGGTCTGTGGACTTCAACTCCTAGAATTTTCTGACTGGCTAGGGAATTCTGGGAGTTAAAGCCCACCCATCTTAAGAGTTTCCAAGATGGAGAAACACTGCTGTACACTTTATGACAGTAGACTGAAATAATGTCACTCCCACGGCTTTTATCCTAAAATAGAAATGTTGCTTATCTTTGCTCTAATCCTAAATTCAGATAATCAACCGGAGCTTTTTTGCGAGAGTTTCCGTAATCTCATATGACTCTGCTATCTTGGGCTGATGGAAACCCAGGTCCAAAACATCTGAGGGACAACACTGCCCCTTTACCCCAATTTTGTCCGACAATATTTCACTCATTTACATCTCTTCCAAGTGGCTAAACTGTACAGGCTTGTCCTTGACTTTTGACCGTTAATGGAGCCTGTGCAATTATCATAGTGAAGCAGCTTATGACTTTTTTTGTGGCGGTCGTTAAATGAACCCCATGGTTATTACGTAAACGCTATGATCATTAAGAGAACCCCTTGATTGCTATGGGATTTATTTATTTATTTGCCCAAACCTGGATGTAAACAGTTTCTAACCAAAAATATCATAAACTGAGGTCACATAACAGATAACCAGTTGGAAGGGACCTTGTAGGTCATCTAGTCTAACCCCCCACCCAACAGGAGACCCTACACCATTTCTGACAGATGGGAGTCCAATCTCTTCTTGAAAGCTTCCAGTGATGAAGCTCCCACAACTTCCAAGGGCAACTTCTATTCCATTGGTTGATGGTTCTCACTGCCAGAAAGTTTCTCCTTATTTCCAGGTGAAATCTCTCCCTGTTCAGTTTCTATCCATGACTATAGGATGCCGCAAACGGCCATTAAACCCAAACTGGCTACCCAACATCCAAAATGCAGTCACATGACCATGGAGTGACTGGCTGTTGGAACTGCACAATGGGGTTTTAAGTATCTTTTGGGGTGGTGTCTGTGTGTGTGTGTGTGTCAGTTGTAAGTTGAAACAGTTGTGAAATGACTGATCATAAGTTGAGGATAGAATCAAGATCACGTTAATAGAGTTAATACCGCTTCATAATGCCTTGGGGTAAGGCCACACTTAGAATCCTGCATCCAGTTTTGGTCTCTACAACGTTAAAAAAAAAAATGTTGAGACTCTAGAAAGAGCGCAGAGAAGAGCAACGGAGATTATGAAGGAACTGGAGGCTAAAAGATATGAAGAACGGTTGCAGAAACTGGGTAGGTCTAGTCTAATGAAAAGAAGGACCAGGGGAGACAGGATAGCAGTCTTCCAATATCTCAGGGGCTGCCCCAAAGAAGAGGCAGTCAAGCTATTCTCCAAAGCCCCCCGAGGGCAGGACAAGAAGCAACGGACGGAAACTAACCAAGGAGAGAAGCAACCTAGAACTGAGGAGACATTTTCTGACAGGGAAGACAATTAATCCAGGAGTGTCAAACTCAAGGCCCGGTGAGCTGGATCCAGCCCGCAGGGGTGCTTAAATATGGCCCGTGGGGGGCCCCACATTGAAATATCAAAGGACACGCCAGCGACGCCTCAGATGGCCAAAATGGACCGCGGGGGTTGGGGGGGGGAGTGGGGCATTTTTGGTGTCCCCAGCCTCCAGCAGCACCCTGGCTGCCAAAAACGGGCCTCGCGGGGGCCTCCTCACCGCCCGTTTTCACCGGCAGAGTGCTACAGGAGGCCGCAGAGGCCGAAAATGTGGCATGGGACAGCCCCCCCTCCACCAATTCCCCCGTTTTGGCCAGCAAAGTGCTGCAGGAGGCCAACTCCGTCCCAACTCCTTCCCCCGCTCTCCTCCCCCCGCCAGCCCGCGGAGGAGAAGTACAATGCTGATCCGTCCCCTCAACGAAATCAAGTTTGACATCCCTGAACTAATAATCGAAACGACTTGCCTCGAGAAGTTGTGCATTCTCCAACGTTGGAAGTTTTTAAGAAGAGATTGGACAACGGTTGGTCTGAAATGGTGGCTCCCTGCCTGAGCAGGGGGTGAGACTAGAAGGCCTCCCGGGTCCCTTCCAACTCTGCTATTCTATTCTGTTGTTGGGTTCTGTTCTGTTCTGAAAAAGTCTGCCGTAACTTTGAGCAACCGATCGTAAGTTGAGGGCTACCTGTACACTCCTAGATAAAAGGTGGGATAAAAAGCTAATAGATCAAATATATAGAACAGAGGTGTGTTTTTGACAAGGGTTAGGCTATGACTATGCTATGCTATATTTTCTATTTTATTCTATATTTTTAGCTATTCTATTTATTCTATTCTACGCTACGCTATTCTATATTTTCTATTCTATGCTATCCTATATTTTCTATTCTATTTATTCTATGTTATGCTATGCTATTCTATATTTTGTTTTCTATTCTATATTTTCTATTCTATGCTATATTTTCTATTCTATATTCTATTCTATTCTATTCT